ATATTTGAGTTCGGAACAGGTTTACTGTTAATCGAGACGGTTCCCGCAGAATCCCATGTGATTTTCGAGTCCGCTTGTTTTAAATAATCAAATATTCTGAGTGCATGGGCTTTATATGTTTTTGGCAGCGCTGCAGAGAGTTGTCGCCGTAGCAACGCACCGCTTTCATCGTCATCCTCCTCCTCCTGTGTGATTCCCTCGAGAGAAATCTGTAGAGGCTTTGTGCGCTCTTTTGTAAAATGTAAATACCTTTGCAAAACCTGATTATAAACTTTCCACTTCTCAGAATCGTCAGCATATTTTTTATCACGCATAATCTTTTCCATCTCTGAGTCAAGTGAGCTTGATTGAGTTTGAATGGCTGATGGTGTTGTGTCATTCATCCTGGCCACAGTCTCGTGTGGCACGAGGATCATTTTTTTAACGTGATTCATTTAAAAAGACTAGGGAGAACGGATGCTACTGTTGACAGTAAAAGCGGTAGGAAAGACCCGCCTGTCTGAAGAACTTGCTTTTTTGATTTCCACCCCTCGCCCTTTTGGGCCAGACGGCGGATCTGGGAGCGGTATCTTTTGAGTTTGGCCCTCTGACTAGAAGTGAGTCGAATGTTACCACTCAGAAGATTATCGCAGATCTCACAGATCGAATAGACAAGTGCCCTGTCAGAGTTTTCGAGGATAGCTTTACGTAGCTTCGGCTTGGCAGCCTGCAGAACCTGAAGTACCGCTTTGTGCGTCTTCACGCGAGGAGCCATCGTGTGCTAATGAACTAATGAGTGATCCATCTCTCTTTTATACTTTCCTTTGGGTATGTACACGGCCGTGGACTCGCCAGGAAAAATCGATGTGCGCATGCGCAAGTGTTCTTGTTGTTTTGGTTTGAAATCAAACAAGATGTATGTAAAGCCAGCTTTTGTAGCATCATGATAGGCCTCCAGGAGAGCGCGAAAATGTGTAGGATCTACTTGCATGCAAAACGTTCGTATTTGGGCGAGATCTCGACTGGTTTTAAAGAGAATTATATAGTGAGAGTTTAGGCTGATCTGTCTTAGGCCGTCAGGATAGAGACACTGACTTAAAAAGAAAATTGATAAATTTCGATGATGACTACCCTTAATGAAAAACTTAAGGATTTCTTTGTGATGTGATTTTATTTCATCCATAAAATCGTCAATGACGATCAGCTTAGGCCCTTGGCCAGGGGGGTGATCCTCGAGGAGGGGGAGTTCTTGTCTGAAATCCACTGAGTGTTTGCTTCGCAGGTCCTCGTATAGAGGCTGCCACTCTGAGTAATAAAAAATGATTTGTTCAAGTGTAACATTAAACATTTCAGCTCTGTTCTCAAT